AGTGGAGGCCGGCGTCGCGCGGGGCCGCGCACGGAGGGCCCGAGTCCGCGCCGCAGAGGGGCCGCCGCGAGGTACGGAGCCGGCTCGGCCGGGGCGGGGGCTTCCCCAGCGGGAGAGAAGGGCCCGGCCCCGGGGAGACGACGCCCGGCGCGGCCTCGGGGGCCCCGCCGGTGCCGCCGCGTCCGCGCGCTTGTGGCCTGTCCTGCCCCCTCACCGCGTCCGCGTGCTTGTCCCCCGGCCCGGTCCCCTCACCGCGCCCCCGCACTTGTCTCCTTACTTGTCCCCTCAACGTGTCGCCTTTTCCTCACCCCTTTCCTCTCCCTGTATCACTTTGTTCCGCTGCCACATCCCCTGACTTGTCCCCTTACCGGATCCCCTTTCCACGTCCCGGTACTTGTCCCCTTCTTGCATCCCCGGGTCCCCGGCCGTGTCACCTCCCTGGGCCTCTCACCATGTCATCTTACTTGTCCCGCCTCGCCATGGCCCCGTACTCCGTCGCCTCCCTTGCTCAGCACCCCCCCTCCCCCCCGCAAACGAGCCGCGGTTGGTGTTCTCTCTGGGAGCGCGTGGTTCTGTGAGGTCCCAGCACAGTGGCTCCGCGGGTGCTGTCGCGCCGCGGGGTTCACCGCCCCGGGGCCTGTGGTCACAGCCAGCCGTCGGTCCCTAACCTTGTTTTACGTGTGTTTCTGTTTGAAGACAACTTGCGTTGACGTGTCGTTGGTTCGTTCGCGTTGAGGTCACGGCCCGCCGCGCCGTGACTCGTGCCCGAAGCCGGGCCCGTTCGCCGCTGATCTCCGTGCGGTGCGTTGCGGCCTCCTGTGCTTAGGAAACTGGACGGCGCGCGGGCTCCCGCCTGGGGCCGCTTTAGACGGCAAGATTCCCGCCAGAGAGCACAAAAAGGGGACGACCGTGACCCTGGATAGGCTGCGGAATGGACACTTAACTGTATCAGAGGGGAAACACGAAAGAAGGCGGGTGTCGTCCTGTGTGACCTTGGCAGGGAAGTGCGTTCCTCGGGCAGCTCGAGTTGTTCGCCACCTGCACACGTTTGTGAACAGCTGCCCCAGTCCCGCAAGCGTTGCTTTTGCAGTTGCAAGTAAACGTCTCACATGGGCACCTTCGCACGCGTGGGATCCACACGTGAGAGCCTCGGGTGTGTGTGTATCTGTACGTGCACATACCCATTTTTTTAGTCTTTTTCTGAGCCATTTGCGAGTATGCCGAGTATGACCGGGGTGCCCCGTCACCCCCCACAATTTGTGTGCATGTGCCCGAAAGCAGACGTTCCGACATCACCATTCCGTGGCCGTCCACATAAGGAAGTGAGTATCAAGACGGCATTAAGGTCCAACCCACAGCCTCCATTTGGATTTTGCCAACTGTGTCCACGTCTCTTTTTCTTTCCTGCTCCAGGGTCCCATCCACGATCACATGTGCAGTCTCATCCCTGCTGGGACGGGCCCTCCGTCCTTTCTGTCCCTGACAGTTTTTATTAAAGGCCACAGGTTTTTCTTACATGTGAGATGACTGCGACGACTCGGGGTCCATGGATGTTTCCTCGGGACCAGGTTCAGGTCATGTTTTTTAGTAGCAATGCTGCAGGAATGGTGCCGTGCTGCGACCCACCCTACCGTGGGTGATCCTCCCCTCGATTACCTAGTCATGTGGATGGCTGCTAGGTTTCTCCTTTTTGTCACTGGTAAATTGGTTAGTATCTTGTAGGGAGTTACTCTGAGATGCCACCATTATTCTTCATCAGCCTTTGCCCGGCAACCTTTAGCTGCGTCAGTGACTTGTGCCTCGATCACTATGATCGTTGCCAGGTAGCGCTTTTTACTTTTTTTAAAGTAAGCTCTACGCTCTTACGTAGGCCTTGAACTCACGACCCCGAGATCCAGAGTCACGTGTTCTACCGACTGAGCCAGCCAGGTGCCGTCCAGATAGTGCTTTTTAAAATTTCCATCATTCCATGGGGTGCCTGGGTGGCGCAGTCGGTTAAGCGTCCGACTGCAGCCAGGTCACGATCTCGCGGTCCGTGAGTTCGAGCCCCGCGTCAGGCTCTGGGCTGATGGCTCAGAGCCTGGAGCCTGTTTCCGATTCTGTGTCTCCCTCTCTCTCTGCCCCTCCCCCGTTCATGCTCTGTCTCTCTCTGTCCCAAAAATAAATAAACATTGAAAAAAAAATTAAAAAAAATAAAATAAAATTTCCATCATTCCTTTTATGTTTGTTATTTGGCATTCTATAAGGGAGATATTTCCCTTTCGTTTGTTTTTCTAATCCATTTATTTGTATTAGTGTATACTTGTGGATTTCTCTTTTATTCAGTGCGTCATGTTCTGTTGCTGTCGTTTTTTTAAGTTTACTTATTTTTGGGAGAGAGCACGCATGGGAGGGGCGGAGAAAGGGAGAGAGAGAATACCAACGTGATGTCAGCACAGATCCCGACCTGGGGCTCGAACTCACAAACCGTGAGATGACCTGAGCCCAAACCAACAGTCACTTAACTGACTGAGCCACCCAGGTGCCCCTGTTGCTGTTATTTACTTTGATGGCCAGAGAGCCCCGTGCAGCTGGCTCTTGAGTCCTTTTGATGTGTCCCTTCCTTGCTCCCTTCCTTGACTTTTGGTACAAGATGCCCCAGGCTCATTTTTTTACTCTTCCTGCTGCAGTGCTGGAATCCACCATTTCTCCAAGGAGCATTGTTCCTTTTTAGCGGAGGATGGTATTTAGAAATCAAGATTTGAGTGTGTGGTGTGCCTATTGCTACAAGGGTGTCGTTGCTTCTAGGCCTTCTCAGCAGACACGGGCCAGGAAATGTATGCATATTTGCTCACATATACCTACACGTCATAACCATCTGTACTCGTGTGTGTATTTTTTAGGAAAATATCCGTATTCTTACCTTCAGTTCCAATCCAACACCTCAAGATTTTTCGAATTTTCTTTTTGCGTTTGTAAATAATTCCTCCAGCAATAAAAAACCTGGGTTTCGTTATTCTATTTTCTTTTTTTTTTTTTTACTTTTTTTAATGTTTATTTTTTCAGAGAGAGACAGAGTGGGAGTGGGGCAGGGGCAGAGAGAGAGGGAGACACAGAATCCCAAGCAGGCTCCAGGCTCTCAGCTGTCAGCACAGAGCCCGACGCGGGGCTCGAACTCAAGAACCGTGAGATCATGACCTGAGCCAAAGCCAGATGCTCAACTGACTGAGCCACCCAGGTGCCCCACATTATTCTATTTTCTTATTTTTTGGTCTATTTATTTGCTTGATGTAACAGACCACTCTGGCTGTCACCTCACCTACTTTGCACAGACTCTTTCAGCACCTTAAGCAATCGTAGGCACGTCCTCCACGAACTCCTCTCGCTCCTCCCTTCTTCCAGTTGGTCAAAATCCAGTGCCAATCAAACCCTTCAGTTTTCTTCCACAAGTTTTCTATAAGAGAGGACAACTTACTAAGGAAGCATAAATACAAGCTTTTAAAATTGTTGTTATTCGTGGGTCAAAAATATATACACATTATTAATCAGGAAAGTGGGTTAGATATTGCCCTTTCCCGTAAATTTTATCTCACATGTTGAAATGAAAAGTCTTTTTTTTTTTTAAGTTTATTTTGAGAGAGTGCATGCGAGAATGGAGGAGGGGCAGAGAGAGAATCCCAAGCAGGCTCTAGCACTGTGAGTGCAGAGCCCAGCGTGGAGCACGAACTCACAAACCCTAGGATCGTGACCTGAGCCAAAATTGAGTCAGATGCTTAACTGAGCCACTCGGGTGCCCCAAAATGTCTTTAGATGCGTGTATTCCAAGATTATCTGAGTCTTACTAGAACCAATTGTAACGCACTAAAACGTAAAGTTTTATGTTATATTTACGTTGACTACTGAGTTTTAGAGCAGAAATCAAATTCTTGCGTGGAATCAAACATGCCATGCTACAGATTCATAATTTTGCACTTGGTAGGATATTTCTTATTGCTGCTCTTGCAAATTACTGCAAGTTAAGTGGCCTAAAACAACACAAATTTTATGGTTCTGGAGGTCAGAAGTCAAAAATGCGTCTCACAGGCCTAAAATTAAGGTGTCAGAAGGGCACTGTTCCTTCTGGGGGCTGTAGGACGGACCTTCCAGGCCTTTTCCAGCTTCTGAAGGTTGCCCACATTCTCTGGCCAATCACATCACCTCAGCCTCTACCTCCATTGCCACATCTCCTCGTCTCTCATTCTCCCTCTTTCACGTTAAAAGGATTGCATTGAGCCTGCCCGTGCCATTCAGGATCCTTAGCATGAGCACATCCACAAAGTCTCTTTTGTCATGTGAAATAACAGATTCGTGGTTCCAGGGAATGGGGCGTGGACATGGGAATGGAAGGAACATTATTCAGCTACCACAGGTAGTGACCACACTGCCATTAGGAAAAACAAGATTCTTGACAAATCATGGGAATCTACTCCCGAAGCCAAGAGCACACTGTATACGTTGTATGCTAGCTAACTTGACAAAAATTATATTTAAAAAAAAAAAGGAAAGGGGCGCCTGGGTGGCACAGTCGGTTAAGCGTCCGACTTCAACCAGGTCACGATCTCGCGGTCCGTGAGTTCGAGCCCCGCGTCGGGCTCTGGGCTGATGGCTCAGAGCCTGGAGCCTGTTTCCGATTCTGTGTCTCCCTCTCTCTCTGCCCCTCCCCCGTTCATGCTCTGTCTCTCTCTGTCCCAAAAATAAATAAACGTTGAAAAAAAAAATTTAAAAAAACTTTAAAAATAAATAAATAAATAAATAAAAAAGGAAAGACATTCTTCAAAATAAAAGTAACATGTTAAAATTTCTCAGTGTTATACTTTTATCTCCTTTTTTGAAATGTAAAAAAGCATTTAATGAAAAATATTGAAAAATTATGAATAAATGTTTTCGAAACAACTAGATTCATAAATGAGTTTCTTACCAAAGAAGAGAAATGTAATTGGTTGGACACCACTGTCTCCCGTTCCCAGATACAGATACACACAAGCATACGTGTGTGCACATACATGTATGGGCATTTGCGGGCTCTCAGAAAGAATTCACCCACAGCACGAGC